GAAAGAGTAAAAGCTCCAGAGGCAGCTGCACAGAGAGCTTCCATGGTCAGAGTGCATCTGAGAAAAGCCTTCAGAGCTGAGTCCTCCAAACAGGGGAGGGGTTCATGGTAATGATTCCACAATAGAGCTGGGTTTAATAGGCCCATGCATGCACACACGAACACACACACACACACACACACACACACACACGTACGTGCACATTTCATGCCTCCTCACACAGCAGTACATACACCCAGAGACACACATGCCCACTTATAAGAGAGGGCCCAGGGCCAAAGGGCAAACTGCATTGTGTCACAGTCAGGCCAGTTACCTTTCTCTGCATGGTCACTGTGCAGAGCTGCAGTCCGGGAGAGCTGACTGTGCAGACGCTCAATTTCTGCATCCTTCAGGGCTACCTGCTCTTGCAGCTGGGCTACCTCAGCCTGGAAGAGAAAAAGCCATCCTACCAGCTCAGAGGGACTACCAGACCATGACAAAGTACCTCAAGTCAGAGCCCAGGGCCAGTGGGTCCGAGGACACATTAGGAAGTTAGGAGCAAAGCTGCCAGAGGCGAGCAGTGAGAGGTGTTCACTGCCCTCCCCACATGGTGGAGCTCTGCGGAATGAACGTGCTCTTCCTGGCCATTGAGGACGTGCCCGTGGCCCTGGCCATCCACCTGCTCTTTCTCCTGCGTCCTCCTGCCTGACCAGGCTCTTTCCCTCCCATGCCTTCTGCAGCCAAAATAAGACAGAGGCCTGAGGAGGTGGGAACGTGCTCAATGGGAGGGCTGCCCTTGGTCCAAAGATGGATATTCTTTCTGGACATGGTCTTCCTTCTCCCAAGATATTCTGCAGTAGCATGTCCGTAAACCACTGTAATAAGTACGTTCATCTTTCGTTTTTCCACCCCATACAGGAAATACAGTGGAAATCAAATCGCTACTAGTAGACAATGAGTGAGCCAAGAGTTCCCTCCCTCAAACTCTCCCACCCTGAATGCATAGCAACTGCCTCTGCCCAACCTCAGACGTCTATGCTCCTTTACCCAAATGAAATTACATACAAGCATTGCATACAGCATTCAGGTGTGCTGAGTGGATGTACTGTTGTAAATCAAGCATGTAAGTACAACACAGGCACACACACACATTCACGTGGGCAGCAGCACTGGGTGGTTCCCAAGTCTCTACCAGCAGATTAAACCGCACACATAACAGCAAGCCAGGTGGTCCCTGTGTCCCCATACTGATTAGAAGGTCAGAACTGGGTAGGTCCCATCCTGAGAGGCATGCTGGCTTTGGAGTTAAACTTGGATTCTCTCATTTCCTAATTGGGTAAGTGGTTTAACATTTCTGAGTCTTGGTTCATCTATAAAACCAGGAAAATAGCATTTAGCACACGGGGCTGCAGTAAGGAGTAAATATGGTAAGGGGTATGAACAACTTAGTCTCATGCTCAGTAGATAGTAAGTCCTCAATAAATGCCACTTCTGTTGCTGCTCTCATCCTATTCCTTCCCTTATGGATAACTAGCTAGTTCTCTGAGCATCAAACCAGACTAAGAGGGGCTTCCCTGGTGGCGCAGTGGTTAAGAGTCCGCCTGCCAATGTAGGGGACACGGGTTCGATCTCTGGTCCAGGAGGATCCCACATGCCGCAGAGCAACTAAGACCGTGTGCCACAACTACTGAGCCTGCACTCTGGAGCCCGTGAGCCATAACTACTGAAGCCCATGTGCCACAACTGCTGAGCCCGTGCGCCACAACTACTGAAGCCCATCTGCCTATAGCCTGTGCTCGGCAACAAGAGAAGCCACCACAGTGAGAAGCCTGCGCACCGCAATGAAGAGGGGCCCCCACTGCTGCAACTAGAGAAAGCCCGCGCACAGCAACGAAGACCCAACTCAGCCAAAAATAAATAAATAAATAAATATATAAATAAATAAATAAAATAAAATCTATAAAAAAGAAAAAAAACAGACTAAGAAAGGAGGTGAGAACTAACTCCCAGCCAGTCAATGGCACACACAGCAAAAGCTTGTACTCTGGGCACCCTCTCCCCATGTGGTAGCCCAATCGGGCCCCACCTTTATTCTGCAAGGTTATGGTATGGGCTTGTCCTATCCCGAGGCCACTTTTGAACAAGTCAAGTAATCAAATGAGCACTGGTCCTGTTGGTGGCCCTTCCACCAAACAGGCCTGTGTTCAGCTTGAGGACACACGGGCTGAGAGCCTACTCTCCGTCAGCCCCATGCTCACTGCGTTCTTACATCAACCCTCACTCAATCCTCACAGGAAACCATGGGATGAAGCAGTCCCCCTGCATGTCACCGGGGAGAAAACAGGAGCAGGGAAGGATTCGACTCCCCAGTCACAGAGCTATTCAGCGACCAGACCAGGACGTGAACCCTGCCTGCTCGAAAGCCAGGGCTCCACCCAGCCTGGGCTGTCTGCTGCTGAGTTAATAGCACAGATGAGGGCTCCTCTTACGGGGAGAGGGCTCCCTGAGCCCACCTCAAGGGGTTCTGGACAAACCTTCCCTAACATCCCCCAAATGGGCCCATGTAAAAACAAAGGGGTGGCAAAGGGGTGGGTTTCCTTACCCAAAGTCCCTACAGAGCACTGTCCCTTTGCTTGGTTTCCACCCACAGAGGACAGAGAGCTGGGTCCAGCTGTACCAAACGGCTTGCAGAGACTCATGGCCATGGGCAGCTTTGCACAGCTAACCCAGGGCCTTGGAGCCCATGGGCTTATGATTGATGGCGACAGCGGCTTCTGAAAATATTAGCCTTGGGACTCAATCCAAATGCCTCTCATTTCTACCAGAATATTCTTGGAAGATATTCTCTTAATTTTTCTTACACCTTCCACACCCATTTCTCCCCTTCCTTGTAGACGGGGTGAGAGCTGGTCTCTGTTAGGAATCTGGATGCCTGATTCTTGTCTGTGGGCCCCACAGCGGACACCAGTGATGAGATGCTATCAAGGCGGAGCCCAGGCTCTGCTTCTCTGAGGCCTGCCCCTGGGTGAAGTAATTTATTTACAACTCTACAGACCAAGTGGCTGGGCCCAACCTCCCATGTGCCAATTTTCACAGAAGAGGCCAGAAATGACAGGTGCTCTCTTATGCTTAGAAAGGTATCTGTCCCTAAGCTGGGAAGTCTACAACAGCCCAGAGGCCGTGCGCCTGACCATGGGGAAAAGTACACTACTGTCACGGCCACTGAGGCTGGAGCTGTGTGGCGAGAGGTCTGGGACAAAGCCAGGCAGACTGGCGCCAGGCAGAGATGGGGGCTCTGCCTCCCTGCAGGTGCTGGGCCTTATTAAACCCAGGGACCCTGCCCTACCGCCGCTGCACTTAAAGATGAAGCACGTTGACGGACTGAGAAGCTTTACACAGAAAATGGAAGAACTTTCAAAAACAAGGCAGGTTTCAACTGCAGGGAATTAGGATGAC